CCATTTTTAAGATTATTTTCAAAGAACTAATTTGTTGGGAGGTTTTTTTTGATTTTTTTTTTCCAATTTTGCCAAAACCCTGTTTTTTCAATAGGTGTAAGCAACAAGGGAATTACTGTAAATCACATAGTAAAGATGCTTTGCCCACAGGTAGTACAGAGGCCTCTAACATCTCATTACCCTGTTTCTGAATCCTAGCTGGGTTATAGTTGAAATTTATTTGGCAGACATTGAAAAGTATTAAACGGATTCTTTTTTTTAAAAAAAGAAGAGTGGTGGGATGATCAATCCCTGTGGCTCAAGAGCTTGCAGAATGCACCTGTATTTTCTAACAATCATGTTATAATGTTCTACCATTATACATATCAACCTCAAATCAAAGGATTTAATTTTTTAAGTCCTTCTACTATATGGCAAATTCAGAGGCAGGAAAAAAAACACCATCAGCCAACACCAAAAAAACACCATGGTGAGACTTTTATCTTGTTTCAGACCTCTTTGTCAGATTTCAGTGGAAATCCAGTTCTGAGGCCTCTCTGTTTCAGATGTTCTTGGGTTTGGTAAGTAATTTCTGTTATTGGGTTGGACCACACATGCACCAACATCAAAATATGTTTAAATACAGTCTAGACACCAGCAGGTTTCTGAGAGGACCGCAGAAAACTTATCCTCAGGGATGTAGCCACTTCAAATACTACGAGTGTATTTAATGAGAAAAAAAGATCTAAGCTGTAATAATTAGCTCAATGATAAAGCGGTTAAATTTAACTCAGTAATCCGAACAAACAACACAAGTGACCTATGAATAACTTGAAATTTGCAATTAAGAGATATCTCCCTTTTTTAAAAAATAATGTTAAGAAAAGAATTGAGGGGAGAGCTGGAGCAACTGAACATCAGATTTTTTTTTTTAAAGAATCTCTGCATTTTTATTGGATATACCAGAACAGCCAGCACCACCACCATGATGAAAACAAAAAACCCAAAGTAGAAAAAAAAAAAAAGGGAACTTGAGTATAGCTAGAAAAATGTAACTCTTTAAAAGCTAACCTATTTAAGATAGGCTTCTTTCGACAAGTCTGCAGTTAGAGCCTAACATTTATTGCATCAGATACAGATATATAGAACATTGCTCTAAATCGTAAAAAAAGTTATTTTTACAATTCAAATGCTTTGCAAGCAACATTAAAAGTTAACATGTCTCAAGAAATTTTTTGTTTCCTTCCCCTTCCCCAAAAGGCTTCTTTTCATGTGTAAGCACTAGTAAATATATTCCACGTTTCCTCTATTTAAGGGGCCATGTGTAAATTATTACAATGTGATAAACAGAAACAAATAAAGAAAAATGAAACACTAAAGCTGTTCTATGTGGCTATAGTACATAATTACGAATAGTTCAGCAACCTTTTATAACACACACTGATTCCCCAGACCACAGTAGTTCTATCTTGGGAACTGGTCACTGCCACCAGCGCAAGCTTGCAAACAAATGAGTAATCTGGACCTTAAACCGTTTTTATTTTGGTCATTACTGTTAGAGAATAATTGGGAGTCTGAATAAAATCTGCAACCCTTTTTTTGCTTTCAGGAACAGGCAAACTGCTGTACAGCGCCGTCTTTCTCTTCGCGCAGGCAACAAGAATTCAAGCCTCATGAAGCACACAGTTAGGCAAATAAAGCATCCAGATGCTCTAAGTATACTCTAATATTAGTTTAATCCCCAGTGCCATGTAAAAATACATTCTAAACTAACTGCTTTTCAGGGGACCTTCAAAGGTGAAGATAAAGATCATAAATAAACAAGAAACCAACTCCTTGCAGACTCAATCAGGGTTGTCAATTCACAAGAGGTTCTTAGTCCTCCTTTGTGATACGTTTGATATATTTTAGCACAGCATGGGCAGATACTGATACACAGCTATGTCATTAAAAGTTGTATGTGCAGGTTCCTATTCATCTCCACTTTCACAGACTGCTGGCAGAAGTCAGTTACTTCCCATAAAATTTCTTATTCAGAAGAAAGATCAGAAGGTTGACGTTCACTTTTGCTCTGTCGAACAACTTCATGACTGCAACGCCTTCATATTGCAGCTGCAAAAGATCCTGTCAAAGAGAATACCTTCATGAATGAGGAATCCTCAAGAGCTTATAGAGAATATACAAGACCCTGTGGTGCAGTAGGTCTTTGAGGAATATCTATCACGGAATATCTATCACAAAGTACATGGCATAAGAAAGAAAAATGAGAGACTCATCACAGATCCGCTTGTACTGTATGAAAAATAAAGTAACTCTAAGGCATTTAAAATCTAAATTTTTAAATCTGTGCTTCTTAAAAAAAGAGGGCAGAAATAGAAGATAATTCTAAGAAAGACAAATTTGAGATCTAACTGTCTCCAGACTTTTCATTTGCACAGTAGCCATAAAGTTGTTGCAATGTTTAGAAAGGGTCTGCTACGTGCCAAATTATATTATGTACCCATGAAAACATTAAAACATTCCACAGTGTCGCTTTCTAAAAATTTTAGTTGCCACAGGTCTCAGTGAGGTAGTTTAGAGCGCTGGGCAGAGAAAGAAATGGTATCTCTGTTAAGACTAGGGACACGATGCCAATTCAGTCTCTCAGGCATTTAGGTAGGCGGTATTTCTAGTTATAATTTGCTCTTGTCAGCAATGCACCTGAGCGATAGAACTCCCTGCACTGATATACCTCAGCAATGAACTTCTTTCAGCAAGCCTACTCTTGAAAAACGCATATTGGAGAAGGCATTCAGGTAGTGCTACTGCAGGGAAACGTGTATGTTCCAAAATCCCAACCTGGCTCCTGCAGCTGTCCAGCCTAGGTGACGCTGGAGTAAACAATCATAAAACTATTTCTGCTGCTTTCTGTAAAATTTTGGCAATGGAAATGTAAGTCTCTTTATCTGATGCCACTGTTAATGCTATACTTGGATGACCAACGGCAGTTCCCTCATTGCTGTCCTCTCAGAATGTCTGCTTTTTCCGCAAAGCAGTGCTACAAAGGCATAGTGGTATAGCAACAAGAGTGCCTGAGAAGCGAGTGACCTTGCATAGCCCCACAAACCAAGAAGTTTGTGACCAGCTCCAAAGGATTAGGACTGGAATGAACTAGGAGAGTCCTCACAGCACACAAACAGCATGCGCAAGGCAGCTGTCCCTCTCAGCAGCCAGTTAGGTGGTGTGGACTTACACCATGCAAGGTGCTCCTGCACACAATCTCTTTTGAGACCCCTGAGGCATCCACGATTAACTAACCTAATGATGCCCAGGTTGGGTGGGAGGTGGGCAGGGACAGAAATGGAAGAAGGGGACAGAGACATCAGGCATACCTACTGGCATGGAAGGAAGAATGGAGAACCGTTTGGGAAAAGGTCAGTCAGTATGCCTGTTGCGGCAGCCTGGCCTAAGTAAAGGCTGAGGATTCTTAAGAACAGAATGGCTAAAGAAACCAGCAAGTGTAAGGTGGCAGAAAGAATACCGATACGCGATGACTGGCTGAAGCCACCACACCCAAGTCCAGCTGACCACTGCCACAGACTCCCAATCTCTGCTGTAGCAGGAAGTTGTTGAAAACGTTTGTTGTGTGTGCGCACGTATGAGTGTAGCTAAGAACACAGGCAGACATCAGGCTTTCTTTAGTAAAGAAAAAACAGTAGTCTGAATCCCCCATTTGTGTTGCATCTGTTTCACCTGCAACAAATGGGTTGGTTTTGAGAGCATTTTGCAGGCTGTTCAGGCAGAAAACACATCATTATTGTTTTAATGAGGAGTCTGGCAAGTGGAACTTATATGCCATTATTAAATAGGACAGTTCTTACCTGATAATGTAACATAAAGGTTTCCATCTGTACCCCCATGAATTTTGCTTTTACCTCAAAATCTCCTACTTCTTCTGTTGGACTGATTTCAAATATCACATTTTTAAACCTATGAAATTTGAGAAATGAAAAACCACAGACCATTACTGAACATGTAATTCCTACTGGAACAGGGAGAGAATATACGAGATGAAATCTGAAGATAAATTCCTAAGAATTCTATACTTAACACTTTATTCTATATCCCCATTTGAAATGAGACCGTAAAAGCTGACCAGACTCAATACAACGATGAATGGAAGCCTAACAGAATCTATGTCCAGTAGATCACATCCTCACACAAACGTAGTAGGCAATATGGTAATTTAGCCCATGCCATCTAAACAGTCTACTTTAGTGCTGCAAATCCATGCCTCATTTAGTGCACAAAGTACAAAATGATTCAGGGTTGAAAAAAATTCTAGTAACAGGCAGCTTTTCTATATTCCATAAAAGATACGCCAAGTTCTCAAGGCTAGCAAACTGCAACTGGACAAACTCAAGCTAGCATTAAGTTATTTTTCAACAGTGAGAGCTATTAATCATAGTAGCAATTCACCTGAGGAGGTACCCTTCCATAACTGTGGGGGTGACACAGCAGGGGCGGGTGGGAAGAGGATGTCATGTTTAAATCCTGTTAAATTTCTCAAAGACCTGCTTCACTTCAACCAGGAAAAAAAAAAAGAGTACTAAAAAGTGATTACTATGCAAGGCTTCGTGGCCCTAGGGATGCCAGCCTAGATCACCAAAACAATTTCTTCAGCTTTAATAGCTAAGTCTACCTAAATTCCAAGAACAAAACCTCAAGACAATCTGTCACGATCTCAAACAAATCTCAGAGCTTTTGTTCCTCAATTGCCAGCACCTAGACCAGTTCTGAGAAAAGAATTCAACATACCTGTTTTCCTCCAAGAAGGTTATTTAATCTAAAGAGTTTTAAAGAGATACTCACTGGTTACCTTGCAGGTCCTCAATCTCTAAAAGCACTCCCTTCTCATGAAGTCGAGCTGCTGTATATTTTAGGGAAATCTTTTTACTGTTTTTGCCTTTCATCTCCCGAGGTTTCTTAGAGACTCTGTGGGAGGAGGGGAAGAAAACAAACCAGATGATCAAACGAGTAAAGAGACTTCAGACAACAAACATTTAATCCTACTTGGATGAGGGGATAGAACCAGTATAGCTGAATTAACTGTGACTAATGCAGCTGAATGATGATGTATTTCTACTAGTGAGTTTATCTACAAAGCACTTGTAGCTCACATTAGATCTTTGATTTTCTACTATTTTCCAATAACTCTTACACTACAGGAGAAGGAAAAAAAAAAACACAACCCACAACCCTTCCCCCACCAAATCGTAATCACATGGTACTTCATAGGAAGCAGTACCATCTATCATTAGGCAAAAGGAGATCTGGAGACAACTGACATGGAGAAGGCAGATATTACTCAACCACCTTCTTGCCTCAGTTTTCACTGGCAGTTGCTCTTCCTGCATCTCACTGGGGAGGAAAACACTTCCCCTCCCACCCCGGGAAAATCTGAATTATCTTGCACTACAACAACTGACTCCATTCTGGATAAAAAGAGGACAATTCATGATCAATGCTTTTCTTGTAGGTAACTATATTATTTTCATTCTCTGTTCCTGGAAAGGACAACAGGACAGACTGACTGAACGGCATGTGCATTATCTGGGCAACCTGCTTCATTCCCACTGAGTCTCTACACTCCCCTCTCCCAGAGGGACTAAAATTCTTTCAAGTATGTCTTTTTGACCCTACTGAGGGCACTGCCCTCTCCCCATATTTTCCCATCACTGCTGAGACCCTTTTCCTAGAAGTATTGCTGCAGTAAAAATCTTGGCCAAGGAGCTTTAAGCAGATGGCATTATGATTCTTTTAGCAACAACCTACGCGTGCATTCTGCAAGAAGCATTTCTAAGGCCACAGCTGGGTTCTGAGATACTTACTTGCCCTTGCTGGCCAGATTATCCAAGCAGGTTTTGATGTAGCTTTTGTAATAATCCACTTGTTCCTCATAAAAAGTAGCTTTGGAGTTCAAGGCACTGTATGTCTGCTGCAGCTTCACCAGCTCTGCCTTTCTTCTCTGACGGTATCTACGCTGATTTCGAATATCCTGTGCCACAGAAAGGCAGGCAGAGACTTAACAGTCATTTGAGCTCTCTAGCTGTTCAAGTCCAGAGCACACACCATTTGATTTTACTTAGTCTTGCTTCATGCTACAAGCTGGAGCCCTCAGTTGTACTTGCCCCAGTTTAAGCATCACCACTTCTCTGCGTTGACTATTTTTGGAACTAATCAACTCTACACAGTAGTTCATTTGAACCTTTTGTTGCTTTCTCAAACTTCAATGCTGTCCTAGTTGCAATGACTAGAGTGGGCACTGTCAGGACATGACCTGAAGGAAGGAAGCAATTCTTGCTACCGCTGGGTAGGAAAGGTATCTTACAAAGCAAGCACTATAACCATAGCAATGCACAGGCTTCCTTATCTTTCTTTCTTAGTTGGCCATCTTTAAGCATACGTTACCTTAATACCTGAACAAAAATTATCACATGTTCAAGTCGACTTATATTTTCATTTTTGATACATGTTAACAACAGTACAATTAATTCTAATAGGTTCCCTAAAGGCGATTATTTATTCACTTTACATACATAACATGTCTTAAATAGTTTTTTGTTAAACATATGATACGAAATACATGGTCACCGTAACAATGTACAACAGCATTAGATCACTTTTGGAAGTTTTTCTCAGTTCCCCTCTTTATCGTTTAGGTATTCTTGATTGGGTACATTTAAAAAAAAAACCCTAACAGTTACAATGTCTAAGTTATGGGCAAGCCTTCCTCGTGTGAGTAAATCTGTAGAGGTGCTACCTAAATTAGTGAAAAGGAGCAGAAAAAAAAGATCACACAATCAGGACCTCCCCTCCAAGCTGTAACACTTTTTCTTAAAGCACCCAAGATTCTGACATCACAGTGATTTGCGAAAAAATAAACATCCTATACAAACAAAGGACTTCCCAAAGGCCAAGAGGTGCAAACACTTCATGTCTGTCAATTAGCTACTACAAAACTTACTCCTCCTGAAAACCCATGCCAGTTTCACAACACTGCAAGCTGTGGGAAAACTCCACTATGACTACTAGGAAACCACCAACTGCCATACCTTCGCAATATCATTGATTAGTTCCTGATATTTATTTTTTGCATTCACTGTCCCCAGTTCTGTCAACTTCTTCAGGCCTGCCTTGATTTTATCTTTTTTCTCTTGAAGATTTAAATTGCCATCTTCCTTTACAGACACAGATTTTTTCATCTTATCTGGAGTTTTAGCATCACGAATGGCCCGTTTCTGCATAGCTCTTTGATGCTCTGCTTCCTAGAAAAAGAAAATTAAAAATTTCAAGTCCAAGCAGATCAATTTTAAGATGACAAAGAACCAGAAACGGATTGTCTGACCTCCAGCATAACACAGGACAAAGAGTTTTGCTTGGCCATTCCCATACTGACTTCAATGAATCCACGTGTGATGAACACATTCCATGTATAGGAACTAGCAGAAGTCTACCTGTCATTAAAAACCTTCTTCTAGATAAATAGTTTCTAACAACTACCAGAGGAGCAAGATTCACATATACAATTTATTTCCATTATATTCCCTTCTCATTATTGTTACACACTGCTCCAACATCAGTAGAGACAGCTTCACTGCAATACATAAATGCAGACTCCCAAGTATACCCACATATATCTAGATAGATGAGAATTTCCTAGTCTAAAAAGAATACAGGTAAACAACTTCGTACTTGCTCTGGGGTAGCTGGAGTTTCCAAGATTTCAGTCAGTGTCTCCCCTGGTTGGAAGCGGATTACATCAACAATTAAACGTTTTGTGCTGCAAGGAAATCAAGGAGAATAGGAGAAAAAACTTTAAACTGAAAGACCTTCAATACTGTTCTATTCTGCAGTAATACCAACGTTACTGATTCACCTCAAGTCAGGTTATCACTGGATGCATGCTTAGGTAGTGGCATAGGCTAGACCAGATCAGAAGTGCTTTACTTTTTTGACAGTGTGTTATCAGAAACTGATTCCTTGAAAGGTTCATCTACATAGTATGTAGGATTTGATCCCCAGTACTCACTCAAATAGCAAGGATGTTACCCCATATATTCCACAGCAGCCCCAGTACTGCCATGTGGGCCACGGAAGCTGCAATTCCAAGGTGAAAAGTCAAGCAGGTAGCAGAAACAGTGAATTTGTGCAGCCAGAAAAAGTCTGTAATATTATCCATCCATAAGCGCACGTCAGTGTTTTGTAACAGGTATGAAAAAAACTCCACCGGACTATTTGCTTATGTGTATAGTAACTGAGGCAAAACAGATCCCTGGCTCCAATCTGGTGACAGACAGGGTCATTTCTTGATCTCATCTGTGATTTAATTGCAGCCAGTGCCCATTCTGAGGCAATTCTTCTCCTTAAACCACATAATGAAACCAAATAGCACCTTCAGCACTTTGCAGTCAGGCTGGAATTATTTCTGGCATCACACAAAGCACATCATACACACAGCTTCCCCATCATCCACAACTTAGATGACTACCAGCACATCTGATAAATCTTTACTTTTGAAATCAATGTCACCTTCTTCTGGCGAGTAGGGAAATATTGATGTATCTTTTGAGAAGCCCAGTTAATTTAAAGTTATTTTTGAATACAAGATTTTCTTCTGGGAGGTCACTGGTCTGTCTAGGCCAAGTGTAAGCTGACCCAAAGAATTCCCAGTTAACCTGTCTAGCAACTGAGCAGGA